AGCTGTGTTACAGTTGCCAGAACTTCCTGGCTCAGGAAAGGACTCAACTGGTGTACCACCCAAAGCTAGGGAAAGACCCTTCTGGGCAGGGTCACTACTGTTATTTCCACAGGAGTCATGAATCCAGGAAGACCTCCAGATTGTGGATCTGCTCTCTCTGGAATAGCTCCACTCTATCCCAAGCTAAACATGGAGCCAGACTGTAGCTCTATCTTGCTGGGATTCATCCTAAGCCTATTCTATCTAATCCAATCCCAATAGGCACCAGTTCAAGACTTTCACACATTCCCTATTAGCCCAGGATAGAAATGTATAGCTAGGCATCATCAGTGTACTGATAATCTCTCAACCTCCCCCAGTGATTTTATGTAGATGTTGATCAAAATGAGGGAGAGGGCCCAAGCCCTGAGGTACCCCACATTGGAGTGCCAGGAGCTCCCTCAAATGTTCAGACACAGCCAAGTTTGGAAAAAAAGAAAATCAAAATGCAGAGAGAGAGAGAAAGTGCCTATTTTTAAAATTTACTGATTTTGCACATCCTTGTGCAAATGAGGAAGATCTCAATAAACCAGAAATACTAGCTGGTTTGTTGATTCATCTACAGTATATCTATCAAAAGGAGGAAATAGCTTGTGGTTTTCTATAAGAAATCTGGCCCAGTGGGGATAGTATGGTGACTTGAAATAGATACCTTGCATATAGGAGATAGTTAAGCAGGCACTGTTAAGTGGCTCACCATTAAGATGCTGCTTAGTCAAATGCCAATTCCGCCAAGATAAAGAGGCAAGAAGTGTAGTCCAACCCATCTGGAGGGCTCAGACTAGGGGAAGCTGACGTGCAGAATAAAATGATGAACAAAGTCATAATTAGTAGTAGCCAATGATTTATATGCTAGCCACTTCCCTGGTTTATTTACAAGCTGAATTTTTTTTTGCTTTACATACTTCATTTTTATTTCTATTTGTCTTACTGTTAACATAGATCATCGTCATTGTAAAAGCTTGATTTGTTGAGAAATACTTATCTTCTCTGGAAATTTCTTTAATTCTTCTCTTCTCTTTATTTCATATAAAATGGCTTGTGTTTTCTCTTGACTTTTCTTTTTAAGTTCACTATTATGTTGTATAAAATAAGTTCTAATAAAAGCTTTACTTGCATCCCAAACCATTCTTAAATCAATGCCTTTACCTAAATTAGTAAAAAAAAATCTTTTAATTTCTTTTTACAATCCTCCACTATTGCTTCTTTCTGTAGCAGCATTTTGTTTAGTCTCCATCTAAAAGAATTAGATTTTCTTTTATAAACCAAACTCAGAGGATATAATCAGAAAGTATTTGGTTATATCTCTACTTTAGAAACTTTAGTAGCTAAGTTCTTTCAAATCCAAATCATGTCTATTCTTGAAAAGGATCTATGTCTTTCAGAAAAACAAGGCATACTCTCTTGAATTGACATTATTCTGTCTCCATATATCAACTAGCCCTAAATTGTTCATCAAATCAAAGAAAACATTTGGCAATCTGCCTTGAGTGATTTTAATATTTTTCTCAGAAGTTCTGTCCAATTGTGGGGAGATCCCTCCATTGCAATCCCCCATCAAACACCAATTTTCATAAGAGAAACCTATTAATCTCCCCAGAAATAATTTATAAAACAATACTCTGTCTCATTTGGGGCATAAATTCCCCAGTATCAAAGTCAGTGAGTTCACTGATTTGAGGAATGCAATAGCGCATTTTCACTATTTTCTTTAAAATGAGCACATTCAGTTTTTTACTGATTGAGAAGTTACCACATTGCTTCACTGCCCATCTTGCAAGAGGGTGACAGCAGCCGCTTCTGCAAGACGTTTGCTGGGGCAAAGGCAGGCCCTCCTGGGCTTTTGGCCCTCTGGGGAACTGCCTGACTTGCCTTTACGGTATGTTCAATGGATACATTAAATACATTTACCTTAGTCTGAGCCAGCTCTACCATTAGGCAAAGTGAGATGATTGCCTGAGACAGCACACTTTTGATACAATGACTGGACAGCCAGCTGATTTATTCTGTTAATGCTAGATAATAGAGGAGGTGCTAGGAGGATTTTTTGTTACATCTGCCAAAATTGGGTGGATAATATGCACCCAGAGTTAAATGGGGCAGTATTTGCTGCTTTGCCTCAGGCAACAAAATAATCTTAAGCCAGTCCTGACATAAAGTATCAGTGGTTTTGTGACTGATGTTCATCTGATATTATTCTGCCCGCTTACCTCCTTGCCTGATTAGTTCAGCTGATATTATTCTACCCACTTACCTCCTTGCCTGATTAGTTCTCCATTTGACAAGTGGTTGCCAAGCAAATAATCAAGTTTAATTTTGCAAAAGCTTGTCTTAAATCCATGTGCTTCATCTGAAGTGGCTTGTGGAGTAGGGGAGAGGCTGTGAGAATGGATTCTGAAAGCACATTACATTAGTGTAGTATTGCATTCTCAACCTGTAGTTTGCTTTTGTTATGGAGACTAATCAGGAAAAGACAACCTTTTCCCCCAGCAAGTCTTAGAAAACAGTGGGGACTTGTAGGGTGAAGATGATCCTTTTATGCCACTCAACGAGAACCACAAGTTCTTTAGAGACAGCAGGAATAACCTGAGAATTCAAGGAGAAGTCCTGTTTGGAGGCAAGGGACAGAATTTTTTTTTGTTTGTATTGGGGTTTGTTTTTCTTTTTAAAAACCTCAACTCTCCTAGTTCATCTTCAGTGTAAAAACACTACTCTTTGCTCCGTTTGTAGATTTTAAATTCTTTCCAGTGAAATACAGAAAAGCATACCAAGAAGAGTAGATATTGTAAGAGGAGAGCCATGTTAGCCATTAAGTTTATTAAAAAGTCATAATCTTTCATGAGCTATACTGTCGGTATAGCTCACAAAAGCTTGTGTGTTTTAATAAAATGTATTAGTCTGGAAAGGTGCTTACGGGCTTTTTCTGATTTATGAGAAGAGAAGAATATCCTCAGAAAATTGTGGTGATTGTGATCCTGTTTTTCACTTTGAAGATGGGGGAGAATGCTGGGGAGGATCTGGAGCTTGATTGCCTGCAGGACCATGATGCATGAAGTTCTAAGATCAAAGGAGAGGTGTTCCATTCTTTCCTTTGGATACATACTATTTTCTCCGGGATATTGTAAGGACATTGTAGCCTTGGAACTGTGGGAGAAACACTAAGACCTCCTAACCTCCAGATGCAATGTTATTCTCTGGGAAAGAGTAGGCATGCTTGAAAAATGCTCTTCAGCCATAGATGAGGCATGCTCATGGGATCAAAAGAGGCATTTGATGCTGTGCCAGCATCAGAGATCACAGCACAGTGATGAAAGAGCACGTTGAACTCAAGTAGGGCAAGAACAGCTATGTGAAAGTAATAATATGCTCAGGTGCACAATATGCTTGCATGACAGATGCTCAGTATCTTTGTTAATGAAGCACAGTCGGCCATTCCTTCTGGTGGCAGGAATATAGAGTTAAGGCTTCTCAACCAAGAGACATTTTAAACATGCAAAATGGTGTGATGGTCTGTGTTGAATAAGTAGCAACTTGCTACTGAATATTTCATCTTTTTCGAATGTTACTGAAGCATCTGAGTAGAGGAAAGGAATGTGAATGAGGATTTCTTTTCCAGACTAAATTGTAATCTGAATCTGAAAAAAATTGAATCTCACCCCCAATGAGTACTCATATCTCAGCCTGGGAAGTACCCCCCCCCCAATCACTTCTTCCTTTGCTTTCTAATTTTGAAGAATGGAAACTTTCTTTCTATATAGATTATTATTACTGTATACCAATAAATAAAATAATCAACAATTATTACCTCAGTGGCGATAAGAGAAGAGGAAGAATTTTGGACACCTTTATAATAATTTAATTCTCTTTTATGACTTTTAGTCTACCAGATTCCATCTGTTTCTTTAGTATTTCCACCTAAAAATTCTTCAACAATATTTCTGAAACAGCATATGATGCCACTAATACATTCTTATTATCCAGGATGTTACAGTATGTTAATTCCAAGCCTTCTGCTCTCTAGAAATAAATGCTTTAGTTAAAGAAATTAGGAAATAACATTTCAATTAGTAGATCATTTCATGCCATATCAAATTTTAAACCATTTAAAATAATCACAGATTACATATCCCATTAAAAGTAAAACCTACACTGTCTCAGTTTTATAAGTTATCGGTATTAATAAGTAATAATCCTCTGAAGAGGTAGTTTCACATAATCTTTTTCTTGAAACTACTGCTGGTAATACCTACTGCTGAAGAATGGATATTGAAATTAATGGAATTGACCGAGATGGCGAAACTCACCGCTTTGCTCAAAGACAGGGCACTCTCTCACTTTGTCTCTAATTGGAAACCACTCTTAGACTTTTTGCTTGACACACAAAAAAATGCAACTTTGATTTTGAGATTTGCTGATTGATGTTATACTGTACTTATAGAAATATCTTGTACAAAACATATGCATTATCTAAACAGATTAATTTTTAGGAATCTTTCTGAATATTAGATTAAAAACTATTTTTATTACATAAATTTTTAGATATTAGAGTAAGAGGCGAATATATTCTCTATCTATTCCTGTACCAAGGAAAGTAGGAAGCTACTCTTTCTTTCTTATGACCCTCTTCTTCCTCCCCCTCTTTTTTTCTTTTTCCTTTTTTTCCCCCTTTCCTTTTTTCTTGATTTTTCTGTATTTTAACTTTTTTGGGAAACATAATAACATTTATATTAAGAGAAGCTACAACTGATAATAATCCAGTCACCATAAGGAGCACACTTCAGTGCACTGGCCCAAGAGCAACCTTTGTTAAAGCAGGAAGGAATTTCTCCTGTCAGTTCCTCCCATTTTTAATGTATGGATTTAAGTGATGGCGATAGAACTAAGCATTCTAAATTTGGATTTATATCTGCCATTTAGCACACAGTTTATTATAAATGATTGTGCCTGCTTTTATTTTGCAGCTGCAGAAGGGATGATATGCAGCCATTTGTGCTCAAAAAATGGATGCTGGGGGCCAGGGCCAGATCAGTGTTTATCATGTAAACACTTCATCAGAGGAAAAACCTGTGTAAAGTCTTGTCACCTTTATGAAGGGTAAGCCATTTTTCCCTGTAGGTTTTGTGTGTGCCTCTGTATCTGTGTGTGTTCATATAAATATGTTCATACTTTTGAAATTATTAATTTTAATGTTTTAGCAATAGATGTCTAGAAGAAGCCATCTGTCATGCAACAACTGGTAATCATGATTTGTGCTAGTCCAAAGTGTCTTTTATGGAAGAACGATGCAAAATAACCTAGCTAAGACAATTCAATAGCCAAGTCTGTGATTTGAAGAGTTACATATATGATTGTATGTAACTGGACTGGAGCATTGACTGGAGGGGATGGTAAGCTTGGCCACAAGGCAAAACAACTGGTCATTCTTTTGAAAGGGCAATAGTGACAGCAAGCTGGAACAAGGAAAAGGCTTGTCCAGTTGGCTGTGGAAGATTGAAAAGTAGCAACACTGTGTAAAAGGGCTGACTGATAGTTTAGATAAGAAATGTTGTGCAACAGGAGCAGAAGTTTGATATCTGCCAAAAGATATCCCAAACAAAGCCCCATAGAAATGTAAGGAACCAGAGAGGCCATCTAGTTCAGTCTCCTGTTCAGTGCATGTTTCCTTGTTTGTGGGGGGCGGGGGTGAAACATTTCAATCCAGCTTTAAGCCTAATTTGGGCCCACAACAATTTTGTTCACGTTAGTAAACTAGGCTGGGAACTAGGCAGTGGGGATACAGTTCTGCAGGATCTTTAAGGAGCTTTTGGTACCATTGGCTATAATATCCTTCTGGGTAGATTTATAGGAACAGAAGTTTTTTGACCTCTTGTCTATTGTCCTGTGGAATTCTACTGGGTTGAATTCTGTCTCCCTGCCCTGCCCCAAACATACACCAAGGAGTTTACTTACAAAGATTTACTTTGGACGCAGTTACAAGCAAAGGCAGGCAGGACGTGTGTGCAGGTGCATGCATGGAGCAACAAAGACCCAGTCCCTAGAGAGCTGGCTTGGAAAGAGTTCCAAACATCCAGAGTCCAAGGGGGGAAGCAGAAGCATACTCAGACCATGGTCCTCTTGAAAATGTAGTTTTGCAGATTCTTCTTATTCCTTTTGTCCTTGAATTTTTAGCTATTGTTGGTGGCCATGGGCATTTTTACCTAGCTGAGGGCAATTAACCAATGATGTCTAATTCTTGGGAATATAGGTCTGGCTTGTTTTATTCCAGATGGATCATTGCAATGCACTCTACACAGGGCTGCCTTTGAAGAAAATGTGGAAGCTAAAACTGGACCAGAATGCTGCAGCTCATTTATCATATACATTTGTCATATAGATGTCATATACAACTACATATACATATTTCAATTTCTTTCTAGTAGAAATCCAACTGCTGTTAGTGATCTCTGAGTTTAGGGTTAGGTTATGTGAAGACTTCTTCATGCTATTCAAGCCTGTTGATCTACTCAGGTCAACTTCAGAGCCCTCATGTGTGTTCCATTTGTATGGGATTAGAAAGAAGACCTTTTCAATATCTGCATTTAGGCACTGAAATACTCTTTTCTTCTACCTATCTCACTTCCTCACTGACAGTCTTATAGATATTGATAAGATCCTGCCTTTCTAGGACAGTCTTACTGTTTTTATCAGTTTCCGATTTTACCATTTCTTATTCTTCCTGATACGCATGTATGTGTGTGCATTTTTATTTTTTTTTAGGATGTGAAAATGCTGTACTTAACTACTATTTTGGTGTAAGGGCTGGAAGAGAGAGTCTCTACCCAAAAGATATATAAAAGAAATCCAAATTAGTATCTGGTAATCAAAACCAATTTCTTTGAAAGAGCTTTCTTTTCAGAATCTGTAGGAAAAAAAACCTTTTTACAAAATTTTACTAGCTATAATTTTAGCTGGCGTTCCTTCAGATATACAAGAACAGCTCCGCAAACAATAAAAGCCAATTATTGCAGAATAGAATTCCAAACAATCTTAATTTTATACTTCATGATTGTCCTACTTGGTTTTTCCTTTCTACCTCTGGTTCTCCATAAGCCAGGCACTCGCAGTTGCACCGTGGTGGCCACTCTCTTGCTGGTGGGGAGACAGGATGGATGAATGACAAACCATACATTCTTATCATAGTTCTTAAAAACTCTGAAGTGGCATTCCTTTCTGTCGTTCCCCACCTGGAGGATATGGAGTGCTTACCTTTAATAACGCGATAATATCTGTACATTGCAAAAGCCTGAGTAGAGATATTACTGTGTGGTGCCAGTCAGCTGATAGGAATTCTCAGTGGTTGTTTGGAGTGAGGACAAAGCTGGACATCTCTCCCTGACAGTACAAAGCAAAGGGACTGCAGATGGGGACAATGTATAGGTGACAAACCATGTGAAATCAGAAAGACCTGCCATATAGGCAAGCTCTGTAGTGCTGTGGTTCCTGGGAGGAACCAGAAAGTAAAGAAGGGTAGAACCCACTTTCCCTGTTCGGAGGGCAGAAGGGCCACAGACCAAGAGTTATGTGTAAAACCTTTATGTAACCTGAAGCTGAGAGAAACAGTAACTCTGCCAATTTGGAAACAAGTCAGATGTACTCCAAGAAAGCCATGCTGACAAAATGCCAGGTTGAAGTTAAATTACAGCATGGCATTTTGTGAAACCATTGCATGTGAACAAATTATACTTCTGTTAAGAATTTTTCTTTTCCAATAAAATAATGTCATCAGTAGTCAACATCATAACTAATGAAGTTCACAATAGTACCACACAAACAACCACTGCATATACCTTTCCATTTCTGCAGAATAATTGGAAGCAGGGATTTTGGTGATGCCATTATTAAATAACTGAGCATTGGAAATCCTTGCCAATCTACATCAAACTTCGCAGAGAATTATCCATACCTACCAGATACTGCTCAGAGACAAGGTGGCTAAAGTCCATTGATACTCAGGGACGAAAGTAGATAGCTTCCGATTATATACCAACTGCCCTACAGCTTTTAAAGCCAAGGCTGTCTGTCAAATGTTGCTGTCAGACCTGTATCTAGAAAGATTTCAGAGCATTGGAAATAGTTCAGTCAAATGTTTTAAGAACTGCATTTCATGTCCCTGAAATCAGCTATGGCTTCCTTTGCGTGTGAGCTTCTCGTCTTTATTTTTGACTTCAGCAAATCCTTTTGACTGTGCCCCTGCTATTCTTGGAATATTTTCCTCCACCTTCATCCTGAAGGAAACATATTGGAAATGATATTCAAAACTGAGGATTCTCAGAGCAATCTGAGACTAGCCTTGGGTTTTCAAAGGGCTATAGCTAAAGTGGGGCAGCAGGTATTGGATACAGACCACCAAAAAGACTTTAGTATAATCCTGACTGTCTTCTTGAAAGGATCTAGCAGAGGGATCTGACAGCCCTTTATTTAATGATGCCTCTGGATGGCATCAAAGATCATTCTCCTTAGTCATGGGAAATTCAGCAATATACCCAGATCAGAATAGATTTGTCCATGTAAAGTTGAGGAAATAGAGATATCTGGGTCTTGATTATTATGCTGCTCCTTTTATATGGACTTCCTCTTTGACCTAATAATACCCTTTCTAATCAGATATAATAGTAAAATAGAGAATCATTAGGATGTCCTTCTATTATCAGATCAATCCTCAATTAATACACTGAAGTTTGCTAAATCTTCTTCTATCACCATCTCCATATGTGGTCAAATGTCAAATACGTTAGTAATAATTTTAATAATGTAATCTTGATTTCTTTGCCAATACTAGGATATTAATGTAGGATACTGTTTTTAAACCCTGTTGTGCTGAACTTTAATCTTATCTAAATTGGTCTATGGCTCTTTATAAAAACTAATCTATACTAGATGTTCTCCCCACAGTAACAAATTACTTCAATTGCGAAGGCACCAGACCTGAAAGTTGTTATACTTCTTGATCTTTCCATAATGTTGGATTTCTGAGGTCAAGAAAATGTTGGGCTATGTTAGATTCCCTGCCTAGAATTGATTATAGTTCCCATTTTACCAGCAGACTCAGTGGGACAAGTAGTAGGAACTCTAGCATCTCAACTATATGATTCTTTTCATCAGATTGTCTTTAACAACTAGATAGCTAATAGACCACAACAGCTCTGAATGCTGAGTCAGTAGGTTATATGCACGCCTGGTGTTCTGCACAACCTCTGCAATTATTCCCAGGATGAAAGAACAGGAAATGATCATCCAAATGCTGTTCCCACTAATAACACCACTTTAACAGTGATAACTGTTTTAGCTTCCAAATATATGATTTATATGGCTTCAGCTTCCTCATTATTTCTGTGCAAGCAGCATTTTAAGATGTTTTCTTTCTTTCTTTCTTTCTTTCTTTCTTTCTTTCTTTCTTTCTTTCTTTCTTTCTTTCTTTCTTTCTTTCTTTCTTTCTTTCTTTCTTTCTCAAAGGAATAATTTGTTAGAGGTCTTTCAACTGTACCAAGAAAGTCATCACAGATGTAGTTCCATGAAATAGAAGAAACTGTAGTGGTTAAAATTAGTTCAGAGATGTATAAAATATGTCCCCTTATTTCAAAAGATGTGTTTTTCCATCTCCAGAATATTGCATGTTTGTATAAACAGTATCAAGTATTTTAGTATCCTTGTTTGTAGAAACAGCAAGTAAAACTCAGCAGTGCATTCACATGCAGATTGTATACACTGTTTTCTATAAAATATATAACTCCATTCTGAAATTCTTGGCTAACTTGTGTAAGCATTTGCATGTTCATCCAGGATTTGGGGATGGGGATGGGGAAGCCATTTGAAAATGATCAAAGAGAAGGCATAGTTGGTGGGTTAAGCACCTTTGCTAGCAGAATAACAATAATGTCAGAAACTGAAGTTGCTCCATGATTCTGTCAACCTTCTACTATTTCTAAATTGCTTATTATTTCCCCAGGGAATACAGGGAGTTTGCAAATGGTTCAGTTTGTGTGGAATGTGATCCGCAGTGTGAGAAGATGGATGGAAACAGAGTTACATGTATGGGGCCTGTAAGTACAATTCAGATGTAGCAAGATTATGGCATAGAAATAACTAGTACACACATTCTTTGGAATTCCATAGTCCATGTTGCTACTTCCAAATTGCTAGTTGCAAATTCCAAAATATAAGCTTTTTTTTCCCTTTTATCCTTTCTTCCTTTATAAATTTTATTTATTTGTTAGGTTTATATCACTTTCTTCCCTGATCTCAAGGCAATGTACAATGCACTCTTTCCTCTTAATTTTCCCTGCAATTACAAACTTGTGAGTTCGGTTAGGCTGAGAGAAGATGACTGTCCCAAAGTCACTGTGTAAACTTATTTGGCTCACTGTGCATCTGAGCCTAAGTGTCTCTGGTCCTGGTTCTAACCTTAGTGGCTACACTGTGCTGGAGCTACGCATGTTCCCATGAAGGTTTTGCTGGCCTGCAAAGAAATACAAATATAATCTAATAAAGTATAACCATTATCTCCCTTTGCAAAAGCCCCAACATAAATCTTAAGGCAATGTGAATAGTGCAGCCTGTGTCAAATATTACACCTATCTGAAGTTGCTTCGTAACTCTTGGGGATCTCCAAACTGAGATAGAGATGTGGACATTCTATGGTTCTTCTTTCTGTGTAGGGACCAGATCATTGTACCAAATGCTTCCATTTTAAAGATGGCCCCAACTGTGTTGAAAAATGCCCTGATGGTGTACAAGGGACAAACAGCTTCATATTCAAGTATGCTGATGAGGATCGTGAATGTCATTCTTGTCACCCAAACTGTACCCAAGGGTAAGTTTATACTTACAAATGTTAAAAAAAAATCATTGCTATATGTGATATTTTAAATACATTTTGCTGCACCACTTAATCCCTGATGAATAAAGTGATTTGTCCAGAACCCTGTTTACAGATTGTATTTTTAGCCCCACGTCTTTTAGTATCTCTCTATGGATGGCACAAGCTAAGATGATAATGGACCAATAACTTTATTGCAATACTCTCTCAGGATCTGAGTTACCATGCTCTTAACAGTCTCTTTTCTCTCTTTTGCCCGAATCGGGAAAATGGGCAAAAAACAAAAACAAAGAGTACCTGTGCTAAAAGAAAAAAAAGTAAAATTATGTCTGTATATATAATACTGCATGTAGAGAACATGAGAGGCTACATGTGAGCAGGCATGCTTATAAGTATGTTTGTGTGTGTTTGCCTCAGCATTTGAGAATGCTGCCCTCCCCTTACCGTTCTCATCCTTTTTGTGTTCAGCTGGGAGATATGAAGGTGAGGTAGTCTTGCCTTCACTAGAATGATAGTGCCCCTTTCCATGTGACTCTAATGAAGAAAACTCTTAGATTGCATTAATGGTTGAATTCATGTTTGCTACCTTCAGACCTCTGGCTGAATGCATGGAGTATAGGTAGGGTAAGGTGTGCTGCCTTGCTCTTTACATCAACTTTAAGTGTCTCACATGTGAAGGTGAGGGTTGCAGTTGATCTTTTATCTCTCTGTATCTGTGTAATGTATGTACAAATGATGATAATTTTCTAATAGAATAGAGCAGTGTTTCTCAATCTTGGCAACTTTAAGACATGTGGACTTCAACTCCCAGAAATCTTCCGCCACCCCGGTGGCTGTACAATTTTTGGGGGGTAGGGTCTCCAGGCCTTAATGTGTCTAAATATAGAAACACCTCTCTATACTAT